TATATAAATTAATTAATTATAATATTAAATAAGAGTTTTATAATTTAAAATTAAAATTTAAATATAAAATATAAAATATTTACTTGATTCTTCTAAATCAGAACAATAAATCTTCTGATTTTTTGATTTTCTAAATTATTATTATATTATATTATATTATATATATTATTTCATGATATAATATTAAAAATAAATATAAAATTTACTTTTTTTTGAAGCAATTTTGGTGATAAAGGTAGCAACTTTAGGGATAGCAATAACTTTATAAGTAGTACCTTTAGAGGTGAAAGCAATTGCAATCTTGAAAGCAGCAGCAACTTCATTTGCAGTAATTTTGAAAACAGCAACTTTTTTTGTGATAAATTTAGAATAGCAACAATTAAGGTTGCTGGACGAAATCAAGAGTTTAGATAGACATCTAAATGGTAAAAGTAAAACTTGACTAAATTATATTAAAACCTTATTAAAAATTCTGCAAAATTTGAAAAAAGGTAAAATTATATTAAAGCTTATAAAAATGGCGAAACTATATCAAACACTTAGTAAAAATTTAGCAAAACTAAAGGTTTAACCGTTTTGCCAAATCTAAAATGAGTTTAGACAAGTAACCTTAGCAATAATATTAGTGATGATGATAACAACTTTGAGAATAATAGCAATATTAGTAGTGGTAATGTTGTCAACTTCTATAATAATTAGAAAATAAAATAAAAAAAGAAAAGAAATAATGATAAATTAAATTCAGTCGCATGTAACTTAAGTTAAGTCATGAAGGTAATTTCATAATCTACTAGTAACTTTATAACATAATGGTAACTTCATAGTCTGCCGGTAACTTCATAACATAATAGTGATTTCATAATCTAATTTCATAATCTGGTGGTAACTTTATAACCTACTATTCATAATCTGGTAGTAATTTCATAACATACATATATGTGGCTTCTTTACATTTATATCATTGTTTCAATTATTTCCTATATATTATAGTGGTGATTTTATAGTCTAACGGTGGATAGTGATGCTTTTAATAGTGATGTCATGATCTAATGGTTATTACTTTCTTCTTATTCCTAATTCATTTACATTATATATTCTACATTGTTGATATTTTCTTTCTATCCTTATTTGAATGCCTGGTTTCATGTTAAGAATACTGACGTTCTGTGTCTGTTTGGTTGTTAGTTCTATATTGAAAATTTACGTATATTTAATTATCTTTTAAAATACTGAAATGGTGTAAAAAAAGAGGCAACAGGTGGCGCAGTGTATTTGCAATTAATTTTGGTCAGCTCTATGGTATAACTTTGGTCGATCTTTTGGGTATGTGATTTTAGATCCCAGCTTAGCATCATGATGGCATCATAATAGTGTTATAGAACTGTTATAAAACTGTTAAGGAACTGGCAGAGTGCCTGAGAGGTTCCATTTATTCATCAGTTTCAGTCTACTTATATGTCAGCTTGGATGCCAAGTTATTATGCCTAAAGTTTCAGCAAAAATTGTAGAATAGTATTAGCCAAAATTAAGTAAATAAGTCTTACGCAAAGACTATATCATAGCTGAATACATATCTAGAAAGTGTAATCTTCTTCCAATTTTTTATATAATATATCTGAAGAAGACTACACTTTGATGCAATAATTCATCTGGCCTTCTTTCGCATTTTGTCATCTAAGTTTGCTATTGCTTCTTTTTTCAATAAATAAAAAAAAATTGAACATTTCTGAGACAGCCTGAAAAAACCTTGCTTATACGTGAAGAAAATTCATCATTATCAGCTGAATTAGAGGTGTCAACTTCGTATCTCTTTTTGGTATACCTTTATATTATGCGAAGGCTAATACTATACCTGAGTACATACTAAAAAAGTATAGCCTTCTTTCATTATTTTATATAAAGATATTGAAGAAGGCTACACTTTTCAGAATATACTGAGTTGTATTTCTGGTGTATTTTTAGCCATATTTGAGCTAAAGGAAACATGTCACTTACCTAAATTCATACTAGTGATAGGGTAGCCAAGTGCCAATATTTCTGAAGAAGCCTTTATATCATACCCAGGTATATATCTAGAAAGAATAAGTCTTACATAAAGACTATACTGTAGCTGAACACATATCTAGAAAGATAGAACCTTCTTCCAATTATATATATATATATTATGAAGAAGGCTCCATTTTCAGATACATATCTACTTGTCTTTCTTTTACGATTAGCTTACTAGCTCACTATATGTCTCTTTTATCATTCATCAAAAAAATTAATTAAACATTTAAGAAATATATTGTGATATAATAACTTTATCTAATGTCAACATACATATCTTAACTATTTTTGACTAAACTGATCGCACTAGAACTGACCCAATGCTCACTTACTATGACAGCGCTGAGTTTTTAGCTGATAGCCTATCACATAATGATATTGTAGCAGAATTCGATAATGAGATGACCGCTATACTTTAACAATGTTTATCTAATAAGCAATCTGTACATTTTATGCTTACTACTGTAAGTGATGAGGCCGAATACATTAATGGAATATCCATCTATATTTTGTGTGTTAGTAGTTGCTTGATTAATGGGCAGAAGGCTATTGTGAATGTTATAGACATTAAACCTTTCTTTGATGTCGTAGTGCATGAAGAGGCATTATTATTTACATTTAAGATCAGGTTAGTAAATATACTATCTAATACCCTCAAAGGCCCATCAAAATTCAGGATCAAGCACATTAACGCTTTTCTACTTCAAGGGTATCATACAGAAAAGAAACCATATATACGTATTACTACTTGAAATCATTTTAATCGATATAAGGCAGTGTTAGGCAATTGGACAAGTTTGGACAGTTTTGGACAGGTTTTAGACACAATTTCATATGTTCAAAACCTTGTCCAAAATATTTAAAATTAAAAATTAAGTCCAAAACTCATCATTGATATAAGGCATTAAAAATGGTTTGTGAAGTTGGTGTTAGCATCGCTTCTGATGACTTAAATCCTACGTACTATTACCTCAAAGTAGCTTGTGAAAAAAGATTACCTCTTTCAAGTTGGACAACGTTAAGTAACTATTTCCATAAATATATTCAAGAGTACTTATTTCTTTCAAGTTTCTGTGAATAATTACAATCCAACAAGTGAAAACGATTATAATAATCCATTATTATTCTCAGCCCTTTTACAAGATCCAACTCTTGTTCTCACATGGGATATAGAAACATATAGTTCACTTGGACTAGGTAACTTTTTCACTGCACAGAGTGATGAATCTAACGTATTTATGATCTGCATATCAGTCTATTAGAAAGACAATCCCAATTTACTAAAACAAATCTGTCTTGTAGATGTTAAAATTGCGTCAGACTCACATTGGACCACAATTATATGCGGGAATCAAGTAAATCTGTTAAAAGCATTTGCATTATATTGGAAATGTTTAGCTCTGGATATACAAATAGGTTTTAATGATTCACAATATGACTGGAGATTTATTGTAAAGAAAGCAAAAAAGCTAGGGATTCTCAAATAAGTATACAATCAAATGTCATTAAAGCCTTCAAACCTCAAAAAAATTGTAAAATAGTAATATCAATATAATGCGATAAAGGTCAATGATAGAGATTTTTATTCAAAGCATCTTAAAATCCCTAGGTGCATAGCTATTGATGTTTGACCATGTTTTATAAAATTCTATTCTAAGGCTGAAAAGAGCAGTTTAACATATTACCTAAAGGAATGTAAACTTGATAACAAGTTGAATATACCTATCTATCATATGTTTAAGTATTATGAAAGGGGTTAAAAGAAACCAATGCTACAACAGCTGAGCAGATGCGTGAAGTAGCTGAATATTGTATTATCGATGCTATTAGCTGTCAGCGGTTAATGATAAAGTATAAGGCAATTAACAAGTACAGAGAGGTGGTATTTGTAATCTTCATATCATTATATGATTCATATTATTTTGCAATAAGAATGAAAGTACGTAATCTTTTAAGTTTCAGTGCATGGCAGGAAGGAATTTTAACTAGTATAATTCCATGTGAACAAACGGAAACAGGGAAATACTCTAGAGCCTATATTTTTCTGCTAGTAAAGGGTCTTGAAAATAGACGTCCTGTAACTAGCTTAGACTTTGCATTATTGTAACTGAGTCTTATCATAATATACAATCTCTCACCTGATAAAATTATTTTATCTTGAAAGCATGCCAAATCTCTAAAGAAAAGTGGTAAAAAGCTTTATGAAATAAATTTCAAATTCAATAATTGGGATGTTCTCACGTGATCTATATAGTATGAAAACTAAGCTGAAATGAAAGGCCTTTATCCAAAAGTATTAGAAGGGTTGCTAATTAGACAAAATTCACTTGCTCTATTAAAGGTAGAGCTCCTAATGAGTCGAGTCGAGTCGAGTTTTAAAGATAACTTGACTCGACTCAAAAAATTTGAGTCAAGTCAAGTCGAGTCAAAAAATTTTAAAACTCTAACCAGTGTGTAAAATCTATGTGCACAATGTGCACATGTGCACATTAATTTTTTGTGTGCACATATTATACAACATAAAATGTGCACAAATTATTACTAAAAATAGATAA